CGGCACTCCTCCTGTAAGAAAAAGCAAGTTCCCCCTTTTTCAGCAGTGATAAGATCAAGGGCCCTACGATTTTGAAGGGCAACTTGTGCCAGGAAAGTCAGCTGGCATTGCAAGGATGCGAGGCTACTGGCCGTGGATTCTATAACTTGTTGTAGTTGGGAGTTGAATTTCTTTGCGGCATAGAGAGTATGTCCCATAGACCTGGAAAAGGAATACTGTTAACCAATGAAGGAGGAATAACCTACAAAGCAAAGGTGAAGGAAAAATCGTTAACAAGGGTGGAAGGCAAACGTGATGGTAGCAAAAGCAGAGGTGTCTTTTTCTTGTCCTCCGAAATGTATAGACCGAGGGTCCTGTGGAGCAAAAGAGGTACGTATGTACCAAGCAGGCATCCAAGGTAACATACAAAAACAAGATGACAAGAGAGGGAGGACACACACCTTAGTTTTAGAACATTTAAGAGTAACACAAACATAGGTTGTCAAGACAACGTAAAACAATCCATGGAACAATAAGGTGACAACAGGTAACCATGGAGACACAAACATACGTCCTGTGGAGCAAAAGAGGTACGTATGTACCAAGCAGGCATCCAAGGTAACATACAAAAACAAGATGACAAGAGAGGGAGGACACACACCTTAGTTTTAGAACATTTAAGAGTAACACAAACATAGGTTGTCAAGACAACGTAAAACAATCCATGGAACAATAAGGTGACAACAGGTAACCATGGAGACACAAACATACCATTCAAAGTGAGACAAACAAGGCAAAAATAATTTATAACTGATATCAGTAACCTAATTTTGTAAGTTTTACAGTGAGCTATTGTTTTATTTTTGATGTCTTTTGCAAACTCATGGAACCTGGAAAAGAGCAAAATAGAGTTGCAGCTCCTGCCACAAACTACCTGCTGCTCCAAGACTCATCACAAGCGGCTCCTGTCACAAGCCACCAGTGTAGAGTACTCCTCACAAGCTACTTCTGCCACAAAGTACTGTGCTGCCGGGAAAGAACACAGAAAGACAAGTTCCAAAACTGCCATTTTTCACACATTATCCACACAGAGCCGTGCCAGGCTCAAACTGAGAGAAATTTGTTAAATGGTACCATCAAACCGAATTGAAACAAAACACGCTGGGAATGAGACCCAACACAGAGCTGCAAAAGGCTGGAAACAGGCTTATCATATGATCAATCTAGATTAGGTCCCCTTTTCAGGAACCCAAGGAGACCGACCCCTGAGGTGGAAGCCTTTTTAACCAAAGAAAATCCTGCATGCCAAGGCACTAAAACATGCAAGCTGCTCTCAGTTCCTCTCACAGAGTCAGAGGGTCAGTCTGAGCCTGGAGAATTCTTGAGAAGAGAAGTTTGTGAGAACTAGCATGAGTCTGAACAGAAAGGACCAGTTTCTGCCCTGAGTCAGCTTCTCACATTTTAGTCATTTATCTATCATCTATATCTATCTATCATCCATCAATCATTTGTCTATAATCTATCTATCTATCTATCTATCTATCTATCTATCTATCTATCTATCTATACTTCTCTGTACCTTTTCCTAGGGAACTTTAGTCTCCGTCCCTTCCTAGGGAACTTTAGTCTCCGTCCCTTCCTAGGGAACTTTAATCTCCGTCCCTTCCTAGGGAACTTTTGCTAGCACTATTGTTTCATTTTTACTTACAACTCCGGAGCATCAGGGTCCCCATACGGGCCACCACTTGTCGCGAGCCAGGACTCTGTCCAGCAGAGTCCAGGAAAGACGACACAGACACCAAGGTGAGGTTCAGGC